TGTTATGGCATACGGGGATGGGGGCAGCTCGCGCTCAACTTCATCAACGTGGCGAGCCTTGCACGTGAGAGGCACAGTGGAGGTGGAGTTCAAAGAAGAATGAGAAATTTAATGGTTTCAATCTGCCCTTGTTTTTTSTTTTTGTTTTTATTTTTATTTTTATTTTTGCATGTTATCACTGTGCCCGTTTTTTGCTTTTATTCTTTGTTCCGCAAAGTGCGCTCTTTTAGTTTGTAGTGATGTGATAATATATAGTTGGCCTGCTACAGCTTGTTATAAGTCCAACAACGACGACTACCCTTTTTTGGCGAGGAAACCCTTGCTAATCCTTGGCAGGGGCCTTTCGGAGACCCCGCAGGGGTTTTCGGAATAATGTGAAAGCGCTCTCTGTTCTCTCTCTCGTGTGTAAACACACAGCACGGCCGCTTTTCTTTCTTCTTCTTCTTCTTCATCATCTTTTTTCTTCTTCTTCTTCATCTTTTTTCTTTTCTTCTTCTTCTTCTTTCTCTTCTTCTTCTTCTTCTTCTTCTTCTTCTTCTTTTTTCCCCTTCCGCATCAGCGATGAGCGCAGCGCGCCGCACCGTACATACTACATATGCGCCACAAGTATGCTATATACCCTTCCTTGCATAATACATAGTAGTATGATAGTACATGATACACAGTGCAAAATACATAGTACATATCATAGTACATACAGCATACCTAGTACATATCATAGTACATACAGCATACCCTTTCATAGTACGTAGGACATAGTACATATCCTTCCTAGTACATATCCTTCCTTGCTGATTGCGCTGATTGCTGGGTGAGAATCTTCTTTTTGTTTTTATACAAGGAATGATGTAACAGCGGTGCACATATTGATTGATGTGTGTGGCAAGCTGCACCGGCCAAATCTCTGGCAGTGAAAGATGTCATGCTTCTTCATCATCCTCTTGGAGCTGGAAAAACGCCAGCAGTTGTGGATATTGGCGCTAGTAGTCTATAACAGCCCATAGTATGGTATACAGCTGCATGCTCTTTGGCAAGTGCCCTTGCATTGTTTAATGACGGATCTGATAATTCTTGTGGGCATGTTGTTGATCTGATGTGTTCAGCAAGCTGCCGTGGCCAAAGCTCTCGCAGCAAAAGATGTCATGCTCCTTCACGGCCCTCCAGGAACCGGAAAGACGACAGCTGTTGTGGAGGTGATCACCCAAGAAGTAAAACGCGGCTCGAAAGTCCTTGCATGTGCGGCGTCAAACATCGCAGTCGATAATCTTGTCGAACGCCTTGTGCAAAACAGGTCGGTAACAAACGCAGAAACGGAATCGCATTGCTGTCTCGCTCGTCCTTTGACTCAGAGACATCGGAATGTTGTATCTCTATCCCTTGGTGCGACTGAGAGACGTCTGACTCCTGTATCTCGTTGTGTTTGTGTGTGCGTCTTGTTTGCTATACACAACTCCACAAAAAAAGGCATGACTGTGCCAGACTGTTTCATTGGACTTTCCTCGACTCATCAGGAGGTTGAAACCCGACAGTCTACCCAGGATGCAGTTGACTGATGCATAAGGACTCAAATTGTCGCCCAGAGTTTGCGGTACCCATCCCTGAGAGAGAAAAGTGGTCAGCTTTACTCACACCAACCCTGCAACACTAGCAGCCTGTCGGTCCGAACCCCTGACGAGAATGGCAGTAAGTCTGAGAAACTGGTCTGACACTGCAACATCTGTGTGTGTGTGTGTGTGTGTGTGTGTGTGTGTGTGTGTGTGTGAGAGAGAGAGAGAGAGAGAGAGAGAG